CACTTTCTTGTCTCTGTCCTTATCTATTTGCATTTTTTTCCTGTTGCAATCCAGCAGCAAATCGAAAGCTCCAGGTGACATTTTCTTTACCCTTGGTGTTGTACACAATGTTGCCATTTTCGTGCAGCAAGTTTGCTTACCGATCTGCAACTGCACCTTGTGAACAAAATTCGTTGCTATCTACAATCAGACAGAATTTTCATTGAAGTTAAATTACAAATGGAAGCTGAATGATGCAAGCACTCTCTAATCGTTGTTGTTAGATTCATAAAGTAAATGACACTAATTTTGTAAATAGTATTTTTGGATTTATCAATTCTAAAATTCAAATGTTGAATGTTTATCTCTGTTTTGGAAGCTGCATATGTCTTAAAGAACAGAATTTTTTTTCATGTCAAGTGCACCTTATTCTTCACAGTCAAAAACATTAAACCATTAGACGCTGTTTCAAATATGATTAAGAAAGATATTTCTTACTGGATTTCAATCATAGATCAGTGTTAGTTCGCATAACTAACCAATTATGATCAGTGATAATCCATGTCTTATATTGAACATAAAGAAGTTATACAAGTAATTAAATTCAAAGCCGATATTGATAACTAAATAAAATTCGAAGCCATAAGTTTTAATGAAAGATGTGCTCAAATTTACCCATTCATCAGTGTCTACGAAGCAATTGCTTAAATAGCCATTACAATACAAAATTTCTTGAGCAAGTTACTTATTTTTTAAATTACAAATAGCTAAATTCCAATAAATGTATAAATTTACAAAAAATTGTAAGAAATGTTACATATACTGAAACAGTGCACAAGAGAAAACAATAAACGGTTGAAAAGCCCTTCCCAACAACTGAAATCGTTGTTTGTTTGAAAATGCGTAAAAAAGGATTAATGGATGACTTGTTTAATAACACGTTATAAATTAAGTAACAATAATTCCCATACTAACAATCCATCAACTGAACAAACACTTTCCTTTGGTTCGAATTATTTGTTCGTTTAATTAAAGTTAACCTCGTAATAATACTTAACAGAGATAATCAGTCTACCATGCAATAATACTAAGTATTGGCTTGATTAGCATTACTGCATGATAATCTGATTTTCTAAAGCATTACAATATGCATACCGTTGTGAGATCCATAGTAGAGCAAGTATTAGGCTGTAATTTCTCGGATATCTGACAGCTTTCAAGAACATGTTCGTCGTTTGAATTCTGACTGATAGCATCTGATTGTTGGGACAGTGTATTTGGCACATAGTCATCTACCACGGACACGTTTTTACACTCTGATCTGTAAACAGCTAAATAAATTTATCAAAGACATGTGAATTGAAGACTGAAAGTATATCATTAATCAGGCATCAGAAAAGCTTAAATAAAATTACTTAATATAAGCTATTCAGTTTCATTTTATGAATATTTCATGTTATATTACAGTCTCGAGATTTCTAAAAAAAATAGACATCCTTTTCATTAAAAGAATTGACTAAGTTTTGAGTCAAAGTTTTTCATTAAGGAAAAAAAAGTGAACTAAAAGTGAATTATTTCAAAAAACTAATAATCAATTTTCTAATTTTGAGAAGCCTTCTGTGGAACACGTTGATCTTTGGGAGTGCAGCAAGATGTTTTGATAAATTAAACAGATAAATTCTGCAACGATTATTAGTGAAAATCATTGTAAAAAAAGGAAAAAGAAATGAATATAAATAAAACAATTTTCAGCGCTTCAAAATGATGACATAAATGACAATTTATTACCTTTACTACTTATGTAAGTCATCTTAAATTCCAATAATTTACAAAAAAATGAAAAAGAAATTTTTGCAACGATCTCATTCGTGGTAGCAAAAATGACTTTTTCAAGATAATCATCTTTCTTCACTCAAACTAGTTTATACTGTGATATAAATGTTAAGAGATTAGAATGAGTCTTTATATAATTCTTGCCTTAAAAAGTTTCCCATTCGAAGGACTATTACTTAACAAATATGGAGAATCATACATGCTAATAAGCGAGAGACTTATGAAACAATTATACAAGAAAAAAATGAAATTTAGTGAGATATTTCCACCATAGTAAAAAGTATTCCCAAGACGAGCTTCTATTTTCTTTTAACTTTTCTTTAAAATTTTCCACAACTCATTTTTGTGTTCCAATTGTTCACATGTTCATATTTAACGTTAAGAAAATTAAGAAAGTTTCCTTACATTTTTGTAGGGAAACTTTCTTAACTTTATTAACGTTAAATGAAGTAGCTGGACTACAATAGCGCATGGAAGTCAAAAGTACAAGTTCCAACTTATACCAAGACCTATATCTCGAACTAATATCTCGAATATTCTCGAAAATATATCTCGAACTAAGTCACTTACCACCTCCTGCAATGGAAATGATTCTCAATCCAACTCCTTACTTCACCGCTTCTATTTATTCAGTAGATTAAAACAGTGGAAACTTTTTGACTTTGTCAACGTAATGAAATGTAATTGATACCCCTCCTGTTGAACAGGTGATAAGTGTCGAGTACGATCGACATCCACAGATGATGCATTTCGTTTCTTTAAGGTGTTGAATAGGGCAAGAAAATTTGGATATTTCCTAGTATCAATACCATCCAAGCAAACCTTATCTTTTCCTTCACCAATATCATCATTATCATCACTGCCACTCTTTACATCCTTAATTCGATTATGCATAACAACACATTATGCTTTCTCCTTCCGTTCGAACAACTGAAATTAATAATTCGATAACATAATATTTAGAACAATTTGATTTAATTTAAAGCTCATAAAGGATACGACTGAAGTACAAGATTCAAATTGTAATCTATCACCTAGCATCACTTCTCCCGCACTATATGAGAAATGACACAACAGTACATTAAAAGCTCTATCATACGTCAAGCCTATCGATAAGTAATTAATTCAATTCAATTTCAATAAAGAAGAAATCTCAATACAACTTAAGTACTTAAATACAAATTTATTCTAATTCAGCAGAATAATTCAGTTTTTCTAGAAAGTCGGTTATAAGACTTCGATAAATCCTAATGATCACGCAGCTAGCAAATAAACACGTGTTAGCCTCCCACCTCACATTCTTTACTTTTTTCTTTGCCATGAAAATAGCGTGAGATCACATAGTTTTCATGATAGGCTAACGTGAGCGGATCTGTTGCAGCACACTGTTATCGCAGGTGCTGGAATTTGGTAGTTGGGTAATTTGCCTCTCTCTTTGGGTAATAAATTAATTTTGAGGTTTCTTTTATCAATCGTCCGTCCTTATTGCTTATTGTGCATGCATATAGGTAATACAATAATTCTCGATTTAGATATCACAGCGCTCATTAATTAAAATGGACCAATTGGATGTGAAAGAAGTATGTTCCATTTCCGGCGAAACTTTCTCTTCTTCAAGCGAAGATGATGATGGTTCGGTTAATTATGAATGCATTATTTTACAGTCGTTTGTTAAATCCCGATTTCGGACTTTTTTTCAGTTTTATTACTCTTTCGGTACTGATTTCTTCTCTTTCAGAATCTCTCATAACGCAGAGAAGGGTGGACCATCAGAAAACAGTTCAATTCGAAGATGGAAAACAAAAGAAGGTCTGTTACTTTATCAAAATTTTTAAGGATTTAAGACATTGCAGGGGACAATAACTGGCGTACATCAACTTTTTTGCAAGAAGATAATTGAGAATATTGTAACAGAGATAATGTTTTTGTATGCTCCGTTTTCGTTCCCTCTTATTTAGAAAACTTGGGAAACCAGAAATAAGTCTTTTTGGCATTAAATTTTTTTATAATTCATAGAAGAAATTAAAACGTACGAAACGCGAATTGCGAGCAGAGCATGCAGCGAAGTACGAACGGGATCGAATGAGTATGGTAATGCCAGATCCGGTACGGGATCGAGAGCGGGAACGCAATTTTGTTCATCTTGCAACGAAGTTCATTTTTCTTTTAAATCACTGTACTTGATTTGTTGGTATTTTTAATTTATTGCTTTAGTACAACTCTACAAAAATCCTTCATTACTAAGTATAGCGGTTTTTTGATTCAGAGAAAATATTATCTTATAGCAAACAAAAATATATCCATTTTGTATAGTTTCTGGATCTTTAGACATATTGCCAGAACATGAATGCATCCAGTATAGTCGTCTTCTCTTGATGGTGTTACTGCATGGTGTTCGTTTCTGTCGAATTTAGGAAAATGCTTGATTATAGAGGTGTTGTCCAGCTGTTTAATGCAGTGGCTGAACGACAGAAAGAACTAAGCGACGTGTCAGCAGCAAATATGACAAGCAAGAAACGCCGATTACGTGGTATTTCTGCAGAAAGCTTCAGGAGGAAATTAGCGGAATCAAGAATAGTTAAGGTACCTAATTTCAAACATTTTTTTGCCAATGCTATAATTCCAGTGACAAAAGTTGAGAACGTGAAATTTCATTTCAGCTAGATACATATTGCATGTTAGCTAAGTTTTCCCTGGATTTATTTCCATGTAATATAAAATTCAGGATGGGGTAGATGATACAAAAGATTGGTTATCCGATGATCAGGTGGCGATTAAATCTGAAACAGAGGACGACTTAAATACTTCTGAAATAAAGACAGAAGTAGAGAGTAATTCGGAATAAATAGTGATCTGTTATACCTGTTTCGTTTGAGATACTACATCAAATTTAGATTCCATTGTGGTATGCTTTGCTTAAGTCTGCGTCCTGATGAAAGTAAATCTATGCGAACTAAAGAGAAATAAAGTTTAGGTAGGAAGAAAACATTAGTAGTTTACAATCGTTTTATCTTGATTTTAAAATTGTTAAGACTTTATTGTTAAAAGTTCAAAACAGGTATAAAAACTTATGTCCTTGTTTGTTTTGTAGTGTAATTTTGCCATAAGAAACAATATCTTTTTAAATAATTGATTTTGCAGTTTATTTCATATCTTCTGTATATATTTATATTGGAAAACTATACTAGTTGCAAAAAAAAGTGTTCCAAGAAATTCTGGCTAGGTAAAGGAGCCATATTAGTGTAGGAGCAGAATATCTCAATTCCTTAGAACATTTCTGAGAAACGCTAGGATAGTTTTGCAAACTCATCCTATTTTGCACTAGATCATTGTGCAATATTCACTCTTCTTATCAGGAAAATGCTTTATATTGGGAATCGAAAATGATTATAATCAATTAGACTGAATTCAGTTTCCTGCGATTAGATTCTGTAAAAGTATTTGAAACATCTTTTGCTTATTGATAGCACTCGATTGTCCGCAAATCCTATTGCTAAAAAAGCTTGTTGTTCTGCAAGAAATGCGATGTAAGTATGATTGAACAAAATTTATTAGACAAAAGAGTAGAAAGCTCTTATATGTTCAGGAGTATGAAAGCTTGAAAGAGAATTGTACAAGATCTATAATAGGAATTTTGAAATTGGCAGTACAGCATATATTTTGAATGAATTGACAAGTAAACAAATGAAATTGGCATTATGAAAGAAGAGAAGGCAGTAAAAACATCAAATGCAAATCTATAGATCATTACTGATTGGAGGTTCTTTTTAATGAAATGTTGTAATGTATGGAAAATGGAAAACGAATTGGGATGACAAATGTATGACCGCTTCAAATATAAAGTTTTTTTTCTTAAATATACGGTTTTTTTTTTTTCGCCGATTTAGTTCTGAAGTTTACTTCTGACGCCAAATTTAAAAAGTGATCAGTTACATACATCTGGAATTTTTTTTTTTTTCAACTTATTTCATTTTTCGTGTTCAATCGCATTTTCTGTCCTATTTTTGAAGAGTCATGTCTTCGCTGACTGCTGCTATAAAAAGATCAATAAATAACAATAAAGCGGCACCTGATAACAAAACAGTAAAATTGAAATTTCAAGAAAGGAAAAAAAAATCACCTAATAATATTACATATGTAATTATCAACTACACATTAAAACTTTTCTATTACTTTAACATATGCAAAAATCATTTCGGTTTGAGTGAATAGCCTATCATATTAGAAAGTTAATATTAAGCATGAAATTCCGAAATATAATAATGCGATCATTTCAATGCTAATAGCAAATATCGGAACAAATATAACCGAAGGAGATTAATGAAGAAATCGAAAAGTATTTCAGGTAGAAGTTTTCTTAATACATCTAATTTGCTTACTTGTTAATGTTTAATGCTCGGAGATTCTTCTTAAATTTTCCTTAAAAGGCGTGAAATACAAAAATTTTATCATAATAAGAAGTAATAAACGGAGAGAATTAAATGTTAATTAGGGAAATAAATAGAACGCATCGAACCAATCTCCATGTTTTACATTAAACAACGATGGATATTGTTGAATGAGCAATACGAGAGTTGTCTGAAATGACATTTTGGGCAGATAAAGTTGATCAATCAAAAGATATATGAATATGTCTTTAATATATGCTTAAGATATTCATTAGAGTTAAGAATGTTTATTTTCTTGATATTTCAAGTGCATACAAACTTCAGGAATTTTTTAATGCAAGAAAAAATCTGATATATTTAAAATGAAAATGCACGAATTGTCACAAAATTCAATTTAGAATAAACGAAATTGATAATAATGAAGTTACCTGATCATCGTCGACGTATTTTTTGTAAATTAGATCGATAACCATTTGATGACATAATTGATGAAAGCGATTTAATGAGTAAATATCACCACCAAGAAAACCACCGCTTATCACAGCCCAGTTCTTACGATATAGATCAGCAAGCGTATATCGAGATATATTATCATACGATGGTGTCACCTCAAATAAATTGTATATTTCTACTGTTTCTACTGAAAATTTTTTGTTAGCTTCAAACATTCTGACAACGTTACGGAATTAAATGTTAATTCTACAGCTTCAAAAGGATTCAAATGATCCAAAAAGATCCAAGTGATCAAAAGTATTCAAGTGATTTAAATAACCAATATTGGATTCAGTGCATGGACTTATTATTTGAATGCTTAAAAAAATAAATTGGTCATGCATGCATTTTTTTTGAAAACAATGTTTGATTTTTAAATTTAAAAACAATTTTTGATTTTTAAAAAAAAAATTAATTGATCATACACATATCTTTTCAAAAAACAATACTTGATTTTTAAATAAAGAATGATCGTTTGGTTCATATCAATTTATAATCATAAAATTTTAAAAATGAGAAAATTAACAGATAGATAAAATTGAATGATACTTTTACCTTAATGAGAGAAATTTTCCTTCGTACCAAAGTAGGATGCCAATGAAATGATGGCGGAAATATGGATTGATTGCCATGCGCATAACCTGCATCTAACCATGCAAAAAATTCACTCTTGAATGGATTACTCATCTAAAATAATCGAGAATAAAACCACCACCATTTAGCAAGTAATTCTTAGCATTTTAATTTTAATAAACTTATTTAATTCTGCTCTTTCCTTTAGAAAAATATTATTAACAATTTAACATTTATCAAAATTTCACAATAGTTAAGTGTTTAAGAATAACAACAACAGGTCTAATTGTAGCTCATCTAAATAATTCATTATTTTTAAGCAATTTTTACAGGTAAAATGAAATAAGCGAAATGATTTGCAAAAATTTTAATTTGTAAAGTTGCATTAGAGAGATTTACCGAAGCATTGTACAAGAAGTATGACTTCGAATTCACTAATATATCATATTTGGCACTTTTCGCTTCCGGATGTGAACTCATCGAACGATCCCACTGTTGACCCCAACGTTTATCGCTTCGTTCATTTGCAATTACTTCCATTGCCACTTTCATATATCGATGGAGGGGAAGATCAGCCAAAGTAATTGGGATTATCTTAGAATTTTATTCTATTGAAATTATTAAAATTCATTTAATTTTTGAAGTTTGTTATTTTCTCCTGCTATATTTTTTTGTCTTAGAATTTTATATTTTCGCTTTTTTAATTTTTTGCTTGAGTTTTTTTTTTTTTGATTTTGATTGTTTAAAAAGTTGTGTTACAATATGTTTAGGCATTTTAATGATATGAGTTATAATGTTTTCATGCCTGGTACTCTCATTTTTTTGTTTTAATTTTTTTCAATGAGGTTTTTTTTCTTTGCTGATCTATTTTTGTGGTACGTCTAATTTTGGTTTTTATTATAATTATTACTTACTATTTTTTTTGATACAATTTTTGCTAATCTTTTAACGTGTGGAAAAAGAAGAAAGGAGTATTTAGCACTTAAAATTGAATGATATCAATCGAATTATAATTTTAGTGCATAATTGATTGTGAATATATTACATATGCTCATTATTTTGTCTACTTGTTCATTTGTATCTTTTCTTAAAATATATTTTTTGATCTAAAGGAAGACTTACCTTAGTAATATGTTCCAATCGATATAATTTCCTTCGAGTGTAAACATGCTTTACGCTTTTCCGATCAACGAAAATGACTAAATTAACTTTTAACTTTAGTAAATTTTCCAGGAAGCCATAATAACTTTCCAGTGGACGACGATACTCCCACCAATCACCCCTTCCGATGTCCAGCAAAGCTGTTACTAAAGTAAAATCTGATCTTTTGACCCTGAAATTACATTCATTCAATGCTCTTTTAATTTTAATAAATTTTTTTCCATCGATTATAAGCATATATTACCCAAAGAAATAAATGATAAAGAAATGATGTGATTATTTTTCTTCCCCCCATTGTTTTCATTAAAAAAATATTTAAAAAAATGTTTAAATTATTATTTTCGAGGGAGACATTCAAAAATTTTGTTTGTGATTTATAAGTTTGTGCTAACTTCCGGAATAATGCATGTGTTGTTGGATGTTAAATTCAAATTTCTAAAATTCATTTACTTCTGAACTCTTCAAATAGCTACTTGAAAATTGATTCATTATCGACTATCGGTTAAAATCTGAAATTCAATCTGATTTCCTTTTTTTTTTAAAAAAATTTTTTGCAAACCTTAGTGATGCAGTTGTAGTTCGCTGAAAGGTTTCCACAACTTCTAACGAATCCAATATTTCTTGATTGTAAGCTTCTTTTCGATATGTTTGTGGTGTAGTTTGTAAAAGAGTGAATTGAGGATGAGAGCTAATTTTGATGGATAACGTTGGTGGCAAATATTGCAGTTTTGTTTTCACATCCTTTGACATTTCCAAAAACTTATGACCTCAAAAGATTTGATTGTAACCTAAGCTTGCAGCCTTAAAAAATCTGAATAATGAGATGCTGAAAATCCATTTGCTGTTAAACTTTTCAAGAGCTACTTGAAAACTGACTCATTATCAGTTATTTATTAAAATCCAAAAATTCAATCTAATTTTCATTAAAATTTTAGAATTACTAACCTTAGTAAAATATTATCTAAATTTAATCACAAATATCAACATTTTTTTAATTTTTTTGATAAATCAACATTCTTTCTTTTATTCGACAATTGTAATTTGATAGGAAGGGCAGACATTGATGATAAGAAAGATGACTGTAGAGATAATAAAAACGTTATTGGTTATGATAATGATGACAATAATGGAATTTGTAGCAGGGATTGTGATAATGAAGATGATAATGATAAAATTAATGATTTTATAGTTGTTAACACAAGTAATAATTATATTGTTCATTCTATTGATGTAATCTGTCAAGGGCTGAAGTCTTCTTGACGAAGTGATACTTTTTGAAGTATTGAAGATAGTTATTATTTCTACAGTAACAATAGGAGTAGTGGTAGCAATAGAGGTAATGATTATAACTGTACCTGCAACAACAGGCGATATTGTTGTTCTTCGTGGTTTTGTTGCTGTTGCTAATGATGCCGTTGTTGTTGGTATTGGTGTTGTTGTTGATGTTGATGTTGTTGATGTTGTTGGTGTTGATGTTGTTGGTGTTGATGTTGTTGGTGTTGATGTTGTTGGTGTTGATGTTGTTGGTGTTGATGTTGTTGGTGTTGATGTTGTTGGTGTTGATGTTG